TTCAGCAGGTTAGTACGTGATGTTGGGCACATCTGTGATCACCAAAGATGATGACAGGGACATTTACTGTACATAAAAAAGATGGTTAATCTAAAGATGTAGCTCATGTGTCTAAGCTTCTGTATCCTGGTGGGTGGAGATTAACTGCCAAAAACATTTCATAAGAAGCAGGAAGCCAGTAGCTTCTTGGAAATTCTGCAACGTCATTCAGCAGATGTAATTATTTTTTTTACCCACTGATGATGCACTGTTGACACGAGCCAAACCACTGTTTAATGAATGAAGTGAGGAGGACAATGATGCTCCGATTACCTACATCTTGCAGGATTTTTAGCTGACACTTGCACTCAGAGCAACTTAAACAGAGTGAGTGTGGTTTAGTCAACTGAAGACAAACCTGCTCCTACTGTGCCCTGTCTCTTACAATTTCCACTCATACATGTCACACTGTGTAAAGAAACACCAGGAAATGAGGGGAGTACCTGGATGCAGACCAGCAGGCAGGTGATGCTTAAACAGGCACTGACACATGAGACTTACCACAGACAGAGTGAGTCCAACACAGGGTCAAAGACATGAGACCAATCCAGGCAGGGCATAAATCCAGCCAGAGGTAAATCCAACATGCAAAGCCCAGACACAAGGGGAACACAAGAAAACACTGCAGAGATACAAAGAAACCAGAAACACAGAGGGCGAGATAACTGTGGCTACAGAAAGCACAGGGGCAGTGGACCAAGGAAACCTTCAATCATCCACACAAAGGGAGCTAATCAGAGGAGTGAAGACAGGTGAGCTGGGTGTGGCCGTCACTGAGTGTCAGGGCCAGCAGTCTATAGAACAGTCCAGAAGAAACAGAGCTGGGTTGGAAAAAACATTAAACATAGTGGAGAACTGGTCCTGACAGCAATTAGCTTCTTCTGAAACACCATATGTGTAGATGACAGTGTGGCCTAAGGTCAAAGGTTGTCTGCTGCCACCTGTCCAAGTAACAGTTGTAAGCAGAAATATAAAGTGTCGACCTTCCTCTAGCACATTTTCAGTGAAGCCTCTCTACAGCTACTCTGACAGTCGAATAATGTTGATCGATTCTCCACAGGTTGATATTTACACCTGACCTTTTTACTGCTCAGTGATTTTCCAGTGAAGTAGTTAATGTCTGAGAACTCTCACCATTTAAACCTGGGGTTCGGACACAGTTTATCAGTGGAACGTTCTTCTGGGAATACCTGGGGTATTATAGAGATGATAACAGGATGCTGCATTTCCATCAGAAGAGTAAAAAAGAAAATGCTGACCATAGAAAAGGGTTAGAAAGATGTGAGGAAGCAGCGATATCAGTGTTTCTACCAACACTCGCATCAACAACATGTGAGCTTCAAATGTTTAAAGTTTATCTTTTATATTTTTATCACAGACTCCACTGTTTCCCTCAGCAGTATGGAGGGTTTTGGTTTCATTTAGTGTCATTGTTTGGGTTTTCTGGCCCACAACTTTACTGTTTTGGTTCAGCGTCAGTGTATATTTGCCACAGAAGGGGTTTTTTGTGTCCATCTGCCGCTCAGCAACAAGGAGCAGACAGGATATAATGGTGCACACAGCAGCTAAAGAGCCAGATATGGCCTTCAGGAGCTGGTAAACATCAAAACCAGAGCTAAATCATGTGGAGAGAAACATGACTCCTAATGTTCCTCCATATCAGTAACAGTTTCATCAGCTTTATACGGTGATGATATGTCAGTGTTGTGTATACACAACCTCCAACTGGCCAAAAGATTCAGGTTTCTTCCTTGTGCCTACTCTCACAGTATTGTAGCAGCACCATATGTATGTTATGTTTAGTTTTCCTCAACAGCAAGACTTATATAAAATATAATGCTGAAACATGTAATAACTCTAGGGAATTTTAGGAAATAAGAGAGATAACATTGTGACCTTTCATCATAAAACTCACCTCTGATGACTTCAGGGTGTTTGAACATCTTAACGTAGGCCTTTGCTTGACACCAGTGACCTCCAGCACCACAACAACCAGATTATTTAAACCTGCAACAGTTGATTTTTCAGCCACTTGGGGTCACGTTGTAAACACAACACTGACATATCATCATCTTATGAAGTAATATGGTAAGTTTTTTAGCAGCTACTTGCACATCCAACAGCTAGAGCACTGTTGTCAGTCATTGGGACCTTTGTTTGTTTCCTGATATTTGGCCAAGGCTCTGCCTGCTCTTGAATTGTAGTAACTTCCTTTTAAAAACAACTGAGAGTTACTTCTTGCTGTATGGGACCAGAGGGGCCCCAACCTCTGGAATGCAGAGGTCAACATCTGGTCCCACTTTCAAAAAGCAGTTTTTTTGGAAGGCATTTCTGCAGTGTCACAGTGGTATGTGGTTTTCTATATGCACACATGAGCATACGAGTGTGGGATATTCAGATGTACAGTATGTGCCTGTGGCCGTCTATACTTTTATGGCTGAGGACGTTTTTATGCATTTGTGCACAGTGATTTTATCACCTTGTTTTATTCTCTTTAAGATTTAAAATTTGCTCCTGATGTTTTTCTCCTTTGTTTCGGTGCTGAACAGGTGGTGCACAGCGGAGGAGAGCGGAGTCAAGAGTGAACCCAGACAGTAAAGTTGTGAGCGAAACAGGTAAACAATAAGCTGGAAGACACTGTAAAGCTGTTGATGCTCTGTAGGTTCATCGCCACCAGTGACCCCCTCCACATTATTATGGAAATAATGATTATAGTAGCTTTAATCAGGTACATCCACAATCAAACTAAAACAGAGACAACTGATGCAGAAGTGTCACTCATCGTGCTACAGAGATGACTTTCACTGAGAGGAACTGACGTGATGCTGAAGACGTGATACAAAAATCCTCTGAGAAGCGAAACCCCGCCCCTGCAGACATTCACTAACATAACCTCCATTTCCAGAGAAAAGCGATTAAGTCTCTTTACGCAGGTCTTTTCTTGTTCTCTGGTGAGGATACTGTCCAGCCAGGAAGTTGTAAAATTTAGGAATGTTTTGAAAAAGCTTTTTTACACTCAAGAAATTTTACAAGAGCAAACATACAGTGAAGGTATCAAAAACAGAAGTGAGTGGTGTGTTATTAAGTCATGAATATTCCTTCTTGTCGAGTTTAGCTTCTCTAATCTGAGTCAGTGTTATTCAGTTCTGGCAGGACGCCAGACTGGTATCGGCGGTGGAGCAGCTGGAGGCCAAGCTCACGTTCCTTGTGCTTAGGGAGTATGTCTCCTTACAGCAAGAGGAAGAAGAGGGCTCTTTGTTTAGTTTACCATCTTTCATGCATTTATTATTATTAGACCATCAGAAAACCAGAGGGTGATCAAAACTCTGTCACATGACTAAATGACCTTTCTCCTTGTTGTGAGCCTAAAAAGAAGAAAGTGATGTGATGACACAGCTCCAGAGGCACTGGAGGAGGAAGAGGAGAGAACTGCTCAGTCTGAATGTTCTTCAGACTGAGCAGACTGATTCTTCTCTATCATTTGATTTAAGATTTAATTCATTCATTCATTCATTCATTCAAAAAAGTAAGAAACCTAAAGCTTTTTGAGATGAGGGTGGTTGGGGGGGG